ACCCTTTGTACCATGTCTTAGAAGGACCTGATACTAATAATGGAATGCCTGAGGACCAACCAAATTCAGAAACGAAGGAATCAGAGACTGTTAAAGATAGCGGCCCTAATCCTTTGTACCTTGTGTTAGAAGGACCTGATACTAATAATGGAATGCCTGAAGACCAACCAACTTCAAAATCGAGGGAATCAGAGGCTGTTAAGGATAGTGGCCCAAATCTTTTGTACCATGTCTTAGAAGGACCTGATATTAATGATGGAATGCCTGAGGACCAACCAACTTCAAAATTGAGGGAATCAGAGACTGTTAAAGATAGTGGCCCTAATCCTTTGTACCATGTCTTAGAAGGCCCTGATACTAATAATGGAATGCCTGAAGACCAACCAACTTCAGAATCGAGGGAATCAGAGTCTGTTAAAGATAGTGGCCCTAATCCTCTGTACCATGTGTTAGAAGGACCTGACCCTAATAATGTAGGCCTGGCAGAAGATCCAACCTACGAGGATGTCGATTGAACTTTTGTACATCAAAGCTTTATTTAACATTAGCTGTCTTTGATCCAAGCCTTGGTATGCATGTTGCATTGTAACTGTACTAATCAAAGTTTTCACATTTAAGAAGTGATACGGGTGATACATTTAAGAAGTTATAAGTTAGAAACCTGCTGGATAATTTGCTGCTATCAAAGTTATTAATTGGCCTTATTAGCCGTGTTAATTCAGGGTTGATTTCTAAGAGAACCAAAGCCTTTATAAAAAGGCTATACAGRACTAACAGTAATCTGACTTAGAACAACTTTAACCCTGGCGTTCCACAAGGAAACATCCTGGTTCCACCAAGGAAGTTTTGCAAAGCCCACAAGAACATCTGATTATGAAAATTACTTTCTCCGCTCTCTATTTTAAAAGCATCAACTATTGACATCTTGATGCTAAAATATAAAAGGATATCATAACTATAGACCTACGTTGAAAGACATTTATGAATCAAACTGAATAAAAGAATGCATTTTAATGAACACTGTGGTCTRTAGTCTACAGTACGTCTTTTCTAGACAATTATACTGTAACTAAATATATCTTTAAGTTTCAAAAATTTGTATTCTTCTCTTTTTCATTAACGCTGGAAATGTGTAAATACCTTGAAACTGAAAATTTGCATAACGGAACGTTACAGATACGCACTCACACTTGCAACCGTTTCTTGAGTGCAGCAGGCTGAATAGCGTACGCACATGCGCCAAATCATTAGTACAAGTAACATCAAAGCTTGTCCCAGAACCTGAATTTCTCCTGGTCAACACCAGGCAACGTAAAATGGTGCTGTCTATTATGAAAGTAAGTTACAAAAAGTAAACAGCTTTACATTTTAAAATTTAAATTTTATAGTCTAAAAATTATATTYATYATTCTYTAGGCTGCAAGTACATATTGAGAGACAAGAAAGGTACTTTCAAGTCCCCTGGATTCCCTGGTAAATACCCGGATGGACAGCTGTGCTCGTGGAGGATCATGGTCCCTGATAATCACACCCTACGTGTTCGCTTCACAAACTTCTCTTTGAATGAAAACGACTATTTGAGATATTCTAAAAGGATCAATGGCAGTCTTAGATCACGGCAGGTGATTCCCCTTAATACCACGGTACCCTTTACATTGTCAGCTGACAGTGATGTACGGTTCGTCTTTCGTTCGGATGAATCAAAGACCAGCTCTGGATTCAGAGCAGAATACCGTGTGTCCATACCACAARGTGAGTAAAGATRCGAACTYRKGWTTGRTGGTYGGAGCTCGAGTACAAAGTATCCTTTTTGAACAGGGACGAATTTGTTTTGACTATTGCTCACTCCATTTTCACTATCTGTTTGTATAACCTATGTTMTTGGTCTTATATTCCTAGCTACAACTACACCAAGGGGTGAGTAAAATTTGCCGGATATCCTGTTAGAAAATGATTCTAAGACAATAATAACTGCTAGAGCAGTGATTATGATGTTAATTTCCCAAAGTTTGCCACAGCGGAAGTAATACTAGTTAGCTTTTGACCTCCATTCCACGAGAAGCTCGATTTTGCAGTGGTTCCCAGAGAACTAAGTGGCTCAGTCCGATATTCACTTCGCTTTCGACGAATAATTGTTAAAAATAATCTGAGT